CCACCATGTGCATGTCCAGCTTATCCTTAAACACCCTCTCCGATGGGGCCTCAACCAACCCCCGTGGAAGCCTGTTTCATACCCTTGGGGTCCTAGCTTTGCTCCATTGGAACATGTCCTGCCCTCCTCCACAGGGGAAAACAGGTCTCTACCCATCTCCATGTGACACCCCCTCACATAAAAACTTGGGACCACTGACGCCACCCTCTAGTCCTCAGGAACCTCCTTAATAGCAGTTTCACTTTCAAATCATGTAAAGTATTACTTCCTCTTTACTCAGCACTGGTTAGGCCTCATCTGGAGTACTGTGCAGCACAGTTTAAGAAAGATGCAGACAAGCTGGAAAGGGTTCAGAGGAGGGCAACAAGGATGATCTGGGGACTGGAAACAAGCCCTGTGAGGAGAGGTTGAAAGAACCAGGCATGTTTAGCCTCAAGAAGAGAACATTGAGGAGAGAAATAACACTCTACATGTACTTGAAAGGTTGCCACAAAGAGGAAAGACAGGATCCCTTCGTGATCATCCCAGAGTGCAGGACACGGAATAATGGGCTCAAGGAACAGAAAGCCAGATTCTGACTAGGTATCTGGGCTGTTAGAACAATACAACAGTGGAACCAATTTTTATCTCTGTGCCCTCCTTCAGCTGACAAAGTATGATCATACTCCTATATAAATGTGTGTATTTTTAACAACCAAAATACAAACAAACAAAAACAGGAAGGTGATTATTTGTACACATTCTTCTCATAAGAAGCTCAGTGTGCAGCATTTTTCCTGTCAAAGGGACAGTGTTATTCTCCTTTCTTTTGTACCTGCTGATATATATAGCTAATCCAGCTGGCTTGGGTTCAGTTAGCTGAAGGAAAGATTAATATTCCATTACCCAGCGGCCCATACAAATCCTGGGATCGAGGTGAGAAAATGCTGCATTCCATTAAGAATTAGATGATGAAGTAGCAAATCTCCTGCCTTCTGGAAGATAAAGTCAGGAGATTTCAAATGTCAGTTGTACATCTCCGATACAGGAGAAATAGCCAGGCTGTTATCCCATTGTTTGGACTAATTCTTTTGTGCTTGAGATTGCTGAACTGAGACTTCCGCAGCAAAGGAGAACAGGAATACATCTGAAATGTATTAAATGCAGTTTAGGATTATTCTTGTTAGTAACACTCTTTCCTTTCCCTCAGAAGAGCAAATGCACCAGGCAGCAGAGAGTTCTTTTATTTTGAAACTTTATTGCAATAAAGGGAGTCGGAGGGTTTCCTTCCCCTTTCCAACTCGCCAAGCACATGTTCACATCCCATATTTATGCCCTTTCCCCATCCGCTTCTTCCCTCCTGCTCTCCTGGGAGGTTACAATCTTTTCCATCCACCTATTCTGTGCCGCTCCAATACTTGTTCTTCCCTCCCACGTTGCCCTCCCAGGTGAATTATAATGATATTATTTTCTATGCGGGGTGTGTTAATATTCATGAGGTCATTGAGCAAGGGTGCTGCTACTTTGTCTACATGCCAGTTCCCTCCAGCTATCTCATCCTGGCCCCCTCCCCCTATGGCTAAGGAATTTTCTCTATTACATTTTCACTCTTCCTGTTTGTTTCCAATCATCCTTTCATCCCTATAATTCTTGGACAAGAATTTCTTCCACACTCCTCCTCTGCCAAACTCCTGGTCGCTCACACCCTGGAAGCTTGGCTGCTTATATCCCAGAGGCCCTAAAAAAAGAAACATAGGCACAGAGGAGCAGAGTCAGAAGGGGGCTCCCAGGCCATCTAGTCTGAACCCCAACTCCAGCCAGCTCTGCTCACAACATGCCCACCATGTGCATGTCTAGCCTATCGTTGAACCCCCTCACCGATGGGGCCTTAACCACCTCCCGTGGAAGCCCATTCCACACCCTCGGGGTCCTAACTGTCAGGAAGTACTTCCTGGCATCCAAATTGAACCTTGGTTTCCTGAGCTTAGCTCTGTTGGAGCACATCCTGCCCTCCTCTACAGGGGAGAACAGGTCTCTACCCACCTCCATGTGGCATCCCCTCATGTACCTATATTTCGCCAACAGATCCCCTCGGAGTCTCCTCCAGACTGAAAAGACCCAGTTCCCTCAGTCTTGCCTCATATGACTAGCCACCATCCTTGTGGCCCTGCGCTGCACTGACTCTAACCTGCCTATATCCTTCCATGAATGTGGAGTCCAGAACTGAACACAATACTCCAGTTGCAGGCCCACCAGAGTTGTATAGAGTGGTAGTAATACCTCTCTCGATCTAGAAGCCAGGCTTCTAGCTATGCAACAATGTGTGGCATTCGCCCTCTTGACCACCGCATCACACTGCTGACTCATGTTTAGCCTGCAGTCAACCAGCACCCCGAGATCCCTTTCACAAGTGCTGCTCTCCAGCCACTTGTCCCCTAACCTGTCCTTATGACACCCATTCCTATGGCCCAAGTGCAAGACCTTGCACTTATCCACATTGAATGCCATCCTGTTGTCTCCTGCCCACTTCCATAGCCTGTCCAGAGCCTTCTGGATCCGAGCAGCTGCTCCTCAGTTGTGGTGTATTTCACAGACCATTTTAGTATGGTCTGTGAATTCAATCAGCAGACTGTTCACCCCCTCTTCTATGTTGTTGATGAAAAGCTTGAATAGGATCAGTCCCAGGACTGAGCCCTGGTGGACCCAGCTCATCACTGGCTGCCATTCCAATGATTCCCCACTAATAGTTACCCTCTGCTTTTGGTCTTTCAACCATGCCCTAATCCATCAGACAGTGAACTGGTCTATCCCAAATCTCCTTAATTTCTCATCCAAGAGTTCATGCAGCACTTCGTTGAAAGCCTTGCTGAAATCCAGGTAAACCACATCGACCGTGTCCCCTCCATCTAGCCACCTTGAAACCTTGTCATAGAATTCCCCAAGATTCATCTGGCAGGACCTGTTGCAGAAGTCATGTTGTGTAGCTGCCAGCCTCCCTTCCCTATCTAGGTTTATTTGATCTCTTGCTAGTATGAGCCTTTCCATTGTCTTTCCTAGAATTGACATAAGGCTAACTGGTCTGTAACTCCCCGTGTCCCTTCTACTAAACTTTTTGAAAATGGGGATCACTGGTGCCACTTTCCAATTCTCTGGAACCTCACCCATTCTCCACAAGGCCTCAAAAATGGAGGCCAGTGGACACGAGAGTACCTCACTGACTTCCAAAGTACCCTCAGGTGTAACCCATCAGGGCCCGGTGCCTGTGTAATACCCAGTGTCCCGAGTGTCTGTGCCGCTAAATCCCTGGCATCATCCGGTCCCCCATGTAGGTCTCCCCCATCCTGCTTTGGAGAGAACACAAACAGTGGAAAGAGAGTCAGCTGAATGTGCTTACTGAGCTCCTTGCTTGCAGGGACCCTGTCATGGCAAGATTCCCAACTGTGACCAGGTTTGTTTTCTGGGAAATTGGGAAAAAGACCCGTGCACGTGTCCATATTCCTTCCCCAGAAAAGAGTTGTTTAGAGCCCCAACGTCAAACAAGCACGGGTTACAAATCCGCTTATCTGCTGGCTGATCACAAGTCATGCTTTGTCAGTTCAGGCATCTCTCAAACCATTGTTTCGAGCTTCCTTGACAATTGTTTGGCATAAATTTAGGCAGCATATGAAGCACGGCTTATATTTGCTTGCATGACTAATTTGTTTAAATCATGGCTGGATGACTAGTTGCCCTGCTGATGTTTTGGCCTACAAATGGACTATACTGACTACTGCTATAATTATGCAGGAAAACTATTCTAGGAATTAAAAAAGAAAAGGAAGTAGCATATGATGATGGCTTTCACCCTTCCCTCTTCAGAAAGAAATGTGCCATTCCTTCATTATGCAAATGTTTCAAACACACTCACATAATTTACATAATTTGAAAACACATGTCAAATGCTTAGAATGTACAGTGACTTCTCAGAACTCTTGGCTTCCTCTCCTGAGCTTCTGCCATGGCTTTGCAGTGGTTTACCTGTCAGCTGCGTTTGTATTTTTCAGATCATGGATTTGTGGCTTCATGTTGCCTCGACTTTCTAGAAGCTATGACTATACCTTCAGAAGCTGCTGGCATTCCATCCGTGTTCTATGCTAAATCTGGAGTCCAGTCATGGGCGCCCTTGCCTGTTCCTGGTGCATCCTGTTTCCCCTGGGGCTTCTAGGACATGCTCCAGAGTCCGGCACCTGCCTCTGCCTTCCGAGGATACCTTCACTGAGTTCCCGCCAGATGGCAGCGCCATCAACAACCACTGTAGCGCGCCTTTCGAAATGGAGAACAAGAGAACCAGGACATTCCCTCTGATGTGGCACCAAGGTGAGGCTGGTGTGTCACCCAGGTGTGTGCTTTGTTGCTTCCTTTCTCCAAGCGAAGCAGCAGGTCTTGCTTCCGGGTGAGCCCAAAGGCGTCATCACCTCTGCCCCAAAGGCGTCATCACCTCTGCCCCAAAGGCGTCATCACGCTGTCTAAAAAAGGCCTGCCTCTTGCTAGCAAACCTTACCAAGACAACACGGGAAGTCTCTTTCTGCTCTCCTATAGCTCAGTGCTACTAATGAAAACAGTACATAGTTTAGGCAGAAAATAAATGCAAAGTAGCCTCTATTAAAATGGATAAACAAGCACTGTGCTTCCCAAGGCCTCCTAAGAACAGATCTCTATTACCTACAAATCACCTGAAAGCCAGGCATACTATAAAAGTGGAGGAATACATAAAAATAACCATGTACATTGAGTTTGCATCCTAGTGTAGACAGAAGTAAGCTTTAAAAGTAGAGAAAGAGGATGAGGAGGCAGTGCTCCCCCCACATGCCAAAAATCAGGTGCTGCTGCTCCTTGCCGCCGCTTCTTCGTGGAAATCCCTCGCATGACGGCTGCCTTGCTGGCCACTTCCTTCAGCAATTCTGTTCCCCTTGGTCCTCTTCCACTGATGGGAAGGGCAGTCAGTCTGTCTCAGGAACATGCTGAGCTCTCTAGCTTGAGGGAAATGGGAAACAGGAATAATGAAGCAGGCAGAGAAGCATGGCAAACAGGAAGAGAAAATCAATCTGATATTTGGAAGACCATGCATATGCATATACTTCTCCCCATAGATAGTTATTGGCTTTGTTCTTGCAAATGGGCAGCATGCAGAGGCTTTGTTTTCTAAGATTTCTCACACAAGCTCTTTGGCAGCTTTCCATCTTTCTTCGCAGTTTTAAAATTATCTTATCATAAGTATAAAGAAATATATAGGAAGTAGGATATCGGATGAGGAATTGCTCTTTGATCACAGTATGTAAGGAGGGAAGCTTTATTCCTTCTTCCCTAGCTGTAAGTGGGCTCAGACCCAGCCCCACCCATGAAACTAAGCGGATTGAGAAAAAGAAAAGCCTGTTGGCACACAAACCGGGGTCCGGATCAAGCTAGTTGCAAAGCAAAGCAGAATGGAATATTCTAATTTGAACTGTACCCAGAACTGTTAGAATAATTCTGCAAAAGGCTACATAAATGGTCATTTGTGCTATGGAAGCAGATAAAGATTCAGACAATGTCCTGCCTTTGACAGAATTGCCAGATTTGCAAACAAAACAAAACACAGAATCATTTTGCAAAAGTTTGGAAGCAAGCACAAACTGAACACAGGAAGGAACTAAGCATGAATGTTCAGGGTGTTAGCAAAAACATCAGTGATTTTTTGATCCGAGAAAACAGTAACAACAGCACAGGAGACAACTTTTTCTTGAAAAATCTGCAAGAGACACCAGCAGAGACTAAGGCTGCATGTAGATAGATGAGTAAATCAAAAACCACTGCATTATTCTTCTGCTGCTTGAGCCAATTTCCCTGCCCTCTTCACAACCCATCAGGCAATGGATTCTGCACCAGTTTAGTAGTCTTACTAGACCTCAGCATGCTTCGAATACACACTCTATTTTTTCATTTTTTTAAAGGGCTTTCATGTATAGTTTTCCTCTCTTAAAAAAAACAGCAGTGTTAGAGAGGGGATGCCCTATTTGGGGTTGGACCCTCCACCAGGCCAATGTGGGCTGACTGATGCGAAGGTGATGTCCATCCTGGACACAGGTGGCTGGGGCCCTTCCTGTGATGCTGTTCAGCCCTCAACCTGAGTGCCAGCTGGAGCTCTTTCCCCCGGTGTTTGGGCGGGGAGAGTGGCTGGCCCAAGCATGGCCCAGGTGGAGACGCATTTCTCCCTCCTGTGCCTTGGTTCAGATAATGATGCTTGCTTATTTATCTTATTTATTAAAAGCTTTTGTATGCCATCCTATTATATCAGGTCTCAGGATGGCTTCCATGCCTGTCTCCAGTGGGAAGGACACGGGGCAGGGGCAGAGAGCAAGTAGAAGAATCCCACTGTTCTCTAAGACCCCTTCTTCTGCATGCCCTGGACCTCTGCTGAAATCCGTCCTCGCTTTGTTCAGAGGAGAGAAGGCGGGACTTGAGTCCGGGACCATATCAGTTCCTGACCAATCAGTGCTACGCACAGCACTTTTTATTTCCAACAGGAAGGATGGGTTTCTCCTGACCCTGGTCCAAGGGAGGACATAGCACACATGGTCAAAGGGTGCCTCTGCAGAGGTTGACCGCTAGCATAATCTAAATTTGGAAGCACCATAAAGTCCTTTTAGCTTCCAGGTTTTTAATAAACACTTTCAAGCTTGCCTTACTGCCCTTACGGATCAGAAACTTTTAACAAGGGAATTTCCAAGCAGGCTTTTAAATAAAGCCGATTTTAAATGAGCCAAAATAATTATGCATTCCAAATGAATGGATCAGTTAGTTGACTGGTGTTTGCAGTGTCTTACATAGCCTCTAACGTTGATTCACAAATAATTCTGCGTTAGTATCACCAGGAGCTATGCCACTGACTTCAGCAGAAGAAGGAATACACAGCTGGGTGTCAGGGGGCACTGCCTTTATAATCTCTTGTCCCTTTGCAAAGAGAATGTAGAGACTGACAAGAAAGATAGAGAGCAGCAAAGAATGGCCGAAGCAGAGAAAGGCTGTAGTTGTATACACAGTTACTTGGAAATAAATCTGAATGGAATACAGCATGTCTTCCTTCTGATGAAAGATGTCTCCAGTCTGTTTGTATCACACAAAGTTTGCTTTGCACATGGCGATTGTGACTTCCTCTCCCACCCACCACACGCACACCACCCAAGAGAGGGGACAGATCCTGCCCTGCCTCTCACAAGGGGCAGCTCTGGATGCCCCGAAGCAAGGCCTGGGTCACTGATACTTGGGTGTCAGTGGGCTGCTGAGACTTTGGGGTGGGGGCTGCACACAAAACAGATCTGGAAGCCCAACAGGGATGATGGCACTTTCCCCTGAATGATGGGCCTCCTTTCTTGGCAAGAGGCCCGCTCAGGTAATTATACTGTGCCAGTGTGAAATTCCCTCTGTAATTCATTTAGATTTAGTGCTGGTCTGGAAGGGAAAGTTGCCATAATGTTGAAGGGTGACATGATGAAGTGCTGATTGATTTTCACATCCTGAAAATTTATTGCCTCTGAACAGCCTTTAAAAAAATTGCTGCCACATTATGGGCTGCTCAGTTGTGGAACGACTTTTGAATATTTTATGTTTCCTTACTGAGCTATTAAATGTTTACGTGTCTATCCCTGAGGCAGTTGGGAGTTCGTCATCATATTAGGAGGGGAAAAGTCTGGATTGTTCTGATAGCACCTTGAACAGGACCTCTCAAGGGTATCTTGGGAAAACTCTACCCTTGACATACCTCGGTCTTTTTGGAATGGCCCAAAGTCACCCTGCATCTCTCACTCTGGTGAAGGATAGGAAACCTTTGTCTTTTGAAGGGCCATTGATCCTGTCAGTCATTGATTCTGTCAGTCAGTCAGTCAGGAGTTGCAGCTGAAGGCAGGCAGAGACGGGGGAAAGGGAGAAGAATTTGTGGCACTATTACATTGATCATTCTCTTTCAGCCTCTTTCTCTCTGCCACTTCATCCACGTGGACCACCTGTGTCAGGTATTAAACCAAGTCCCTAAGAGCCTCCCCACCACCACCATTCATGGTTATCATTGGCCTACAGTGGCCTGCTGGACCAAGGAAGGAAGGAAATCTTCCTCCTGCAATCATTTGCAGGTCTCTGCTAAAGCAAAAGGTCCGCTCATCTGGATGCTGGCTCCACTTCACAAGCCTATCGAACAGTAACTGCCCGGGTGCATAAGCACTGAAAAATCTTCAGAAGAGAAGAATCCCATGTGGCCTCAAAAACAGCTTAGAGATTATATGAAAGCAAAAAGAACATGTATAGGAAATGGAAGGATGGCCAGGCCACAAAGGAAGAATACAGGCAGGTAGCATGGAATTGCAGGGATGGCGTCAGGAAGTCTAAAGCTAGGAATGAACTGAGGTTAGCAAGGGAGGCTAAAAGGAACAACAACAACAGCAACAACAACAAAGCCTTCTTCAGATATGTCTGAAGTAAAAGACAGAGGGAAGAAATGGGGGTTCTGCTACTCAGTGTGGATGGCAAAATAACAACAGATGACAGAGAAAAGGCTTCCTCAATAACAATTCCTGCCAGGATAATCTGATTTCATTTTGCATTGGGTAACCCCCCTGGTTGACTGAGGGAATGATGTGGACATAATATATCTTGACTTCAGCAGGACTTTTGACAAAGTGCCTGTGACAGTCCTGGGAGGGAGGGGCACGCCAGAGGCGCCTTGTCCCCTTACTTCCATGGGGAAACACACGAGGAAGCCAGTTCACTCACCGGGCCTCCCTACTGCTGTGCACAACTTTCGTGGCTGTGCAGCCCAAAGCACCAAAGCCCTCGCCTGCACCGGCCCTTGCTCCTTCCTTGTCTATGGTAACAAGCGGCATCGCCCCTGCAGCAACAGGGGAGCCGTTTGTTTTGGTCACAGGGTTTGCCCTCATGGCTTGCGTCCGCCTGTCTGCGAGTGGTGGCAATGCCAGCCCATCACAATCTCCACATGCGTCTCTTCCTTGGTCCCTCTCCGCCTTCTTTCTCTCTCTCTCTCTCATTCTCCTCCCCTCCCTCCCTATGCTTCCTCTTTATGCCCTCCTCTTGCCCACCACGCCACCCAACCCAGCTGCTCCTTCCCCGGCCGGCAATTCCACGTCTCCGAGCTGTTGCATTCCAGTTCTGCCCAAGCAGATTCCCAGCCGTGTCTTTGGCCCTGCTCTGTTGAATGCCCCAGGAAAATGGGTGAGACCCTCTGCTTCCTCAGTGTCCCATGATATCCTGATCTGCAAGCTAGCAAAGAGTGGGCTAGATGGAAAACCATCAGGTAGATCCACAGTTGGCTACCAAATCAAACTCAAAGGGTGCTTACCAATGGGACTTTCTCAAACTGGAAGAGGTAACAAGTTCCGCTACCACAGGCCCAGTGCTCTTCAACATTTTTATTAATAATTTGTATGAGGAAGTAGAAGGAACGATTAATAGATTTGCAGATGACACAAAATTGGGTCAGATAGGTAATACCCTTAAAGACAGAAAGATGATTCAAGGTGATCTTGGTAGGTTCAAGCGCTGGGCTGAAAATAATAGAATGAGTTTGAACAGGGACAAATGCCAAGTTCTTCTCCCATCAAAATGAAATTAAATGTATTGTTACAAGATGGAGAATATTTGATTCAACAATACTGCGAGTGAGAAGGATCTTGGAATTGTTGTAGATCGCAAGCAGAATATGAATCAACAATGGGATGTGGCTGCAGATGCTATTTTTTAGGCTGCACTGGATAGAAGTATCACCTCCAAATCACGTGAAGTGCTAGTTCCCCTATACTCTGCACTGGCCAGGCCTCACCTGGAGTCCTGTGTCCAGTTCTGGGCGCCACCGTTTAAGAAAGATCTCAACAAGCTGGAAAGGGTTTAGAAGAGGGCAGCAAGGATGATGCTGCAGAGACTGGAAACAAATCCAGATGAGGAAAGATGGAAAGAACTGGGCATGCTTAGTCTGAGGGGAGATATGATAGCACTCTACATGTACTTGAAAGGTTGTCACAAAGAAGGACAAGATCTCTTTGCGATCATCCCAGAGTGCAGGACACGGAATAACAGGCTCAAGTTACAGAAAGCCAGATTCTGGCTAGAGATCAGGACTGTTAGAACAGCACAACAATGGAACCAATGACCCAGGGAGGTCACTTTCCCCTACTCATACAAAATCCAGGATTAGCCTTTGCCGGTTGCCAACCGATTCTGGTCAACCAAATAAAACCCTAAGGGCCACATTCATCTCACTTTTGGAGATGGACTTTTGCCCCAATCTAGAAAGCCAAGTCCCAAGTGTTGACTAAGTCCCAGGTGTTTCTTAACCTTCTGGGGGAAAATGGAGCTGGTCAGGCATGTCTCGATTAACTACATCTTCCGGGGTGGGGGGCACTGAAGATTGTTTTCATGTCCCTGTGCCCTGAATAGGGTGCCCACAACCCTTTGAGTTCTGACATTTCTGGGCATCCTCTAGGCCCTAAATTGATGTGCTGCCGTAACAGCTACGATGTGGTAGGGGCTGCTATTTTGTCCCCGTGGATGTGTTTTAGTCATGTTTTCAGTGGGATGTGTCTATACTGGATGTGTTCAAATGTTTGATTTTTTTTTTTTTTTTGTTCAGTTTGTATTTTATTGTTAGTCACCTTGAGAACAAATTCTTACTGGAAAGGCTAGGTATCAGTTAAATAAAAATCATTGCACAACAACTGACAACAGCAACAAAAATACTGGATATTAGATCCTGATACTAGATTTCATTGGGTGTTAACTATTCTGAGAATATTTGAAATCAACATTCTCAACAGATCATTACCAAGAAAATGTAAGGCTGAATTTTAATTTCAGCAATATTAAGAAGTCATGCATAAATGGCTGCCTAATTTTCAGGAATATGACATAAGAGAAATTATATATCTACACACCAAGTGTATCAGCAAAAATTAATTACAAATAATTCCATATATTCTATTGGAGTTATTGGTAACTATCTAGCTTTCACCATCAGCATTTTATTAGCCATCAGCATTTTATTTATTTATTTATTTATTTATTTATTTATTAAAACATTTTTATGCCGCCCCATTCGCCGAAGCCTCGGGGCGGCTTACAACAAACAAGTTAAATAACATTTTAAAATATATACATTAAAATAAATTACGAATCCAGCATTAGATGGTGCTTCAGTGCTCATGAAAGATGGTCACAGGAATGGACAGAACTTTTGGATTCTGGTTCTGCTCGATGACTACCATGCAGCATAGGATCACTCAGAAATCCCTTGGTGCTGATGGGACAGTCAACATCTGAAGCTGGGCAGACTCTTGGTGAGAACCAACCCAATGCCACAGGAGATTGTGCGAGCTTTTGCATTCTCCAGAACTCTTCATCAGGCTAGATGGCACAGTGGTGGTGTCCAGGCACTGTCCAGAATTTTACATCTTCACAGGCACTTGGGTTGCTGTCCTAACTGGGAAATATCTTTATTTAGCTGGACCAAAGAATGGTTTTCTGTGGCCTTTAAAATGAGTTAGTAGTGAGATGACACATAAAACTACTTCCTGTCACTTAGAGTCAATTAGGTAACTCATGTTGACTTGGCCCTCTGCTTTGAATGTAACAGCTGCTGCTTTTCTAGTGTGATTTGTGGAGTTTTAAACAACTTTCCCACTCTGATTAAAGTCAAAGCAAGTGGTGTGTGAGCATGCGTGTGTCGGGAGGCATGTAAAGGTGGCACTTGCATGGCCTGGAGAGGTAGGACTGGTCACACAGTGTCCATAACACAGTGTGGGTTCAAAGTCTGCAGTGAGGTCCAGATATCGAAGCAAGTCGCCCAGGTGTGCTGGAACCCTTGCAGTGTACCCTGCAGATGGACCGCATTAAGTGTCCCATTCCAACACCAGGTCTGGGGCCTTAGATTGCCACCAGCAGCACCTGGGAGGGCAATTTATTAGGGGGGAAATTGAGTGGGAAGGTGAATTAAGATAGCACAGAACTTCAGACCTTCAGCTTTAGCAATTCAGTGTTTCAGTTGAAAGTGAGGTCGCCGTCTGCGTAGAGATGGCATGATTCACAGGCACAAGTTATTAAACATGGACTTGATTCTGGTGCGTGTGAAGAGTTCTAAAATAAGGATGTGTTGTCTGGCCTCAGTATTTGCAATACAGTAAGCTGCTATTCCAAGCAGCTGCCTGTTTCCCACATCCAAATATAGTGATGCTTTGTTAAGCCATAAACTGAAGTGTGAAAAAGAATCTTGCACTACAGTTGTCAGACAAAGTGCCCCAAAGTGTACTCCATCCGGTGCTATCCTTGGTGTTGTTCAGCGTATGCATTGTTTCTCTGTATGTTTTACAATAGGATAGCTTACATAAAATGATTAGTCTAAATCAGGAGGGGAATGGGAAAACTTGCACACACGAATACTTTATAAGTCTAGGATGCAAATTTTCCCTCAATCATGCCAGCACTTCCCAATTATCTGATAAATGCCACGTATCTTAATCTAGTTTAACAGACTAATTATCTTGCGTACTTTCTCAAACGCTGGGTTAAATAAAGAAATGTCTGAACATGCACTGGATGGTTTGACAATGAAGATTTCTTTCTTTCATCACATCAAATAGCAGATATAAATCAGGAATATGCAGGGGCGACGTGTGGGCGGTTACAGAAGTGACACGGCTCCTACGCCATTTGAAGTTGGCGCCCGGGCCACAGCTTGGCCACATGATCTGCTGTGTGAGGCAAGGAGCCAGTGCAGTCCAGTGCAACTGCACCTGTGTGAGTGCGGTGTCGCTGGGGGTGATGTGCCCGTGCGGCGAAGCATCCGGGACACCGCAGCGGCGCCGAGGAAGGCACACTGTGAGTGGAGGAGGTGAGCTGCCGGGACAGGACAGTGGAATGGCGGCAGCGCAGTCCTGTCCGCACTGGGTTATTAGGGATGTGTGAAGAACCCATGTTGGGGCGGGATCTGTCAGGCTCCCTGGGCTCGGCTGCCCGGACGCCAGTCCTCTCTGTTGCAGCCCAGAGGCTAGGCTCCTTGTGAGAGTTTGCTGGCGCTCGCCAGGGACCGAGCCCGTGTGCCGCCCTCCGAGCAGCACCGGCTTCTGCGCACTCCCGCACGGCACATGAAAGGCGGCGGCTGGCTGTGTCGCCCTCGCGCTGCAAGCAGTTGTGGGCCTCCTCTTGCCTGGCTCACTTTCTCAGGCGGGGCCGAGCACGAGCGGAAGCCCACAAACGCTAGGGGGTAGATAACACTGCTGGGCTTCTCCCAAGCCATTACCAGTCTTTCCTACGTGAAGAAGCGGCAATGCCTATCGCCCAAACCATAGGATGCTTCTCAGGATTAAGTTCCAGAAGGTGAGCGAGTTCTCATGTGGCTGCCAGCACAGGCACGGTCACTTCCACTCAACACGCAGATAATGTGGCACTGGTGTTCTACCTGGGTGCCTAAACAACACGACGCTTCCTCCTCAAAATGGCACGTGTGTGTCTCTGAGGGTGCGCACGTTGTCTATAAGGAGGGTGGGAACAGCCACGTCCTGTGATGTGAAAGCTCTCCTTGATCCAGTGAGGCTATGAAAAGTGTTTTTGCAACACTGTACAATTGTACTTACCTATTTTTGTACAAACCCTAATGCACAGAGTGCCTCACGTTCTTACCTTTGCTTTCACCACAACTGTGTGATGCTCACTGACTGCTTCTTTCTCAGCAATGGAAGCAGCTTCTCCACTTGGTACTGGATTGCAGCTGGAGCTTTCTTTTTCCTTACAGTCAGAAAAAGTCCACTGCAGAATTTCTCTGAACATTTCTCTTCATCTCTTTGTGGTGGCTGCCTCTTCCTGCTCACTCGATGTACTGGCATGATACTATATCCAAGGTGTTGCAAAGGACGAAACGCAGAGGTCAGAGTTAACAGAGTTCCTTCTTTGGATGCTTGCAACAGCAGCAAAGCAAGCGAACAAAAACAGGTTAGGAAAAAAGAAAGACACCTCAGCAATGCCACTACCATGGTTTGTCCCAGCCTGGGTTAATTGTTGGAGAATTTCTTTCGCCTGGAGAGATCCAATGAAGCCGTCCCCACGATTCCTCTGCCCACAGTGTGGCCATTTGTGCACAGTTCTACTTGCAAAAGTCACGATTCATGTACAAATACAATACAGGAGAAACAGCCTTAGTGGAGCCGTGGAAAGGAGCAGGATAAAAGACAAGTGTATGTCCAGCACTACAGAGAACCCACACTTCTTCTCCAAGGGATAGCAGCTCTTTACACAAAGGCCACAGTGTTTCAGGGAATCTGGGAAACGTGCATCTTTCTTTTATACTTCTACAGATCAGCCTTTCCCCACCACCCCTCTATTTTCTCTCTTCCTCCTGACCCCAGTAGCCTCACAGTTACTAGATGTTACTACCTGCTCCTTTAACAGCCTAAAAGGGACTGTGGCATGAAGGCACCAGCTTTTTAGACAAGATGGGAGCTGACCACATTTTCTTCCCAGCCTGCTCATTCTTTTCATTAAGTCCAGAGTCCAAAATGGCCCAACAGCACCGTCGCCTGGCTCCCTTGGTGGGGGCCTGGCTTTGCAAAGACCCAACAACCAATTGCTCCTGGGCAACTGTGCTTGTGCAATGGGCCACTGTGGGCATTGATCCTGAGAGGAGGAAGGCCAGCTGCAGGTTGTGGCTACTCGTATAGGGCGTACCTGAGGCCATCCACCCCTTTTGTTTCCTTCCAGATGCCCCAGGCCCCTTATCTTGGGGGAAAACAAGTGGGGTTGCTTGTGAAAAGGGGTTTGAAGGAGTGGCAATGTCTGGCTTTGGGGCAAGGTCATGTGTGGGTGCCAGTTTGCCCTCACCTGCTTGAGCGTGTCCAGAGCTCCTTGGCTCTGCAGCCACTTTTCTGGGGTGCTCCTGGCTCCTGCATGATCCAGGGGCCAGACACTGGCGGGTGCATGGTCTGCCCTGACTCCAGGGGTTTGCACTTGGCTAGCAGAAGGTGAGGAGATGTGTGAGGAGGATGGAGGGGTCCTACTCTGTTGTGTGCAGAGGCCACAATGATTGCAGCACAGGTAACTGACCCGCACATTCACTGTGGCTTAATAAACTCTCATGTACTGGAGGCCAGTGTAGAGAAAGCGATTTTGAAATATGTTGTTCTTCGTGGCACTGGTGGACTCTGGAACTTGCTGTCATGAAGAGGCATGAGCCCTTGATGAGTTTTATTACATTCCATCCCAAGGATGTAGTAAATAAGCAAGAACATAATAAAGTAATCAAGCAAGAACATCAAGCAAGAACAATTTGAGGCATTGCCCAGTTCTCTCCTGGAAGCAAGCAAGAAGCTAATTAGCTTGCCTTCTATAAGAATTTAGATTATACTAATTATTTCTAATTATGTACTTACTTGCATATGCGAGTCAGCATATGGAAATTTGTTCAATCGTTTTGCCCTTTGGTACAGAGCACTAGATTTTTAGGTGACGAACACTGTTCCTGCCAGACTCTAACTTGTTTACAACCCTGCAGTGATGTCCAGCAGTATTAGACCCTGTCAGCAGGTTGTAGTTGAGCTCAATCTGCAAGGGTTTGCTTTTACCTCTGCACTGCAAATTGGGCTGAGAGGGTATGTTAAAGCAACCCTGTGGTGCAATTCACTGTTATACACCTAAAGTTGTTAATCCTGCAGGCCACAGGACAAAACGCCCTCCACACCTCGGGCTACATTCTACATCAACTGTTCCCTCAAACCTTTTCTCAGATCAAATCAGGCATCCAGTTGCACGCGGAAACCTTGCGCTCCATTGGTTGGCATGCAGGCTTTAAAATATTTAAAAATTGAATGGATGGATAGGCAAATTTTACACATAACTACCCAAGTTAGAGCAGCAAAATAAAAGATGTTTTCACTTTGGACTCAGGTAACAAACACTGCAACATTTTGTCTTGATTCTATTTGCTAAAAATGCTCTTATCAGTCCAAGTGTGAACCTTTATCTAGCCAAAAAAACCCCAGTCACTCACAAAAGGCATCAGCCTGCTCAGGAGGACCCCAGCGTATAGAACCATAGAATCGTAGAGTCGGAAGGGGCCGTGAAAGCCACTGGGTCCACCCCCCTGCTGTTGCAGGACACCAGTTTACACCATCCCACGCAGGTGGCTGTCCAGTTCCTTTCTGAATGTCTCCAGTGTGGGGGAGCCCGCCACCTCTCTAGGCAGCTATTTCCCCTGTCATATTGCTCTGACAGTGAGGAAGCTTTTCCTGATGTCCAGCCTGAATCTGGGTTGTCACAAGTGAATTGATTATTCTGTGCCCTACATTCTGGCATCAACAAGAAGAGATCTTGACACAGCAGTCCTTCTGCTGGGGAAACCCTGCTTCACTCCAAAGGGCTCAAATGAACTAGGAAGCTCCTTCTCCAGGCAGTGGGTGAATTGCTCAGTGCTATGACTTCATTCATTGACTGAAATTACTGAAAAGAGGGAGCTGGTCATTTCTGCTTGCAACAAGATGTGAGGAATAGCAGCTGCACATTCTGCCTCCTCCCTTGGATTCCAGAAGAGCTGGGTGCTAGTTTTAAAACAAAAATGAAACGCAGGAACTTGGAGATTATGCCTCAGTGCCCCTGTTGCCCACAGTGGAAACTGCTCTGACTGCTCTCCCCTCACTATGAGTCTTGCAGTCCTCATGTTGCTCAAAGGAGTAGTGGACAATGCAAGGCAAAGAGGAAAGAGAAACTGCTCCGAAAAGATGGCACATCCTCCACACCGTCCCTGTACAAGCTCTGGTGGCAGCAAGCAGCAGGGCGCAGGGGAGCTGGGCAAGACCACAGAATGGATCTTGTGCTGCCTGGCCCGTCTTGTTCTGCAGCTAGACAGCATCAACTAACTAACTAACTAACTAACTAACTTTCTATTATGCCCAACAGTCGAAGCTCTGTGACTGCTGCATAACAATTATTCAAATACAAAAGATACAGACAAAACATGAATACTATAAAACACAATATAAAATTCCAGTATGACATTTTTAAACAGCTAAACATTCCAATATAAATACATATATTTATACTTCCTGATGGTTAGTACCCCTAGGTACTAACATGGGCTTCCACAGGAGGTGGTTGAGGCCCCATCGGTGAGGGTGTTCAAGGGTAGGCTAGACATACACATGGTGGGCATGTGGTGAGCAGAGCTGGCTGGAGCCGTGGGTCAGACTAGATGATCCAGGAGACCCCTTCTGACTTACTCTGTTTCTATGTTTCTCTCTATGTTTCTCTCTAAAACAGTTTAACATCTAAAATATTTTCATTAAAAACAGACTTAATGAAACAGCAGACATAACCCATCATGTATCATTAAATGCCTGGAAATATAGGGCAGTTTTAACCTGATGCTGAAAAAATGACAATGTTGGTGCCAGGCAGGCCTCAGTAGGGAGACTGTTCCACAATCCGGGGGGGGGGGGGGACCATGAGGAAGGCCCCCCTCCTTGTTGCCTCTTTCTGGACTTCATTGGAGGTAGCAGTTGGGGGAAGGCCTCAGAGTATGTATCTATTTACATAATAAATGTATATTCTATTGTAGGTTCTGGGTATGTTGCAGTCAGGAGAGGTGTTCCTTCAGACTGGAGGAAGTGGGAATTCTGGAAGTTTGGTGTATTCAAAGCTGTTATGCTGCGAAGGCTAGATTCTATCAGACCGATGTCAATGTATGATTACTAGTATGAGTTCATAAAGTCTCTTCTCTAAATGGTAACTCTACTGCAAACATTGCGGGTAGAAATAAAACTGAAAACATTGTGCTTGCCCTGTTTGCAGAGAAAACAAAGCAGACCAGAATAACAGCTTCAGTGCTTCCGATTGTAACTGATTTGTTGGCCCTTATTTTTGCTTCCTGCTCCCTTCCCTATTAACACATCCATGACTATCACAGCCAACTGCCTGGTTAGCTAACTGGGAAGAAGTATCAAAATATCTTTTGTGAAAGAACAAAAGAACAAAAGATCACAGAATGTAAACTGTGCAATGTAGATTATTTTTGGGAAGGTTTTTTTATCCACATGACTCACAGGGCACAGGAATCCTGTGACACTGAGGCACAAGAATGGCTTCACAATGACAAGACGGTGCTCAGGGATGATGCCTCTCCCAAACTTTGCTGCAAGTACAACTGGTCATGCCATTCCTCTGCTTGCAAGACTGCGCATATGATGACCAGGGCTTTGTGTACTTCTGCCAGTGTGAGGAAGAGAAGGAAACATAGTATAATTTAGGACGGAATGACAGCATTTTTAAATGTTAAGGGCAGGGTTTTCCTTTCTTTGCTTCTGAATCAGTTTTAGTCATTAAGGCTGTGAAGGTTGTCTCTGAAAATGTGCTGGTTATGCTTGTACAATTCCAGAGCCAGAGGGCTCAGGAGCAGCTAATGTTCTGTGTTACTATTTATATATTTTGAAGATGACTGGATGGTCTTTTGATTTAATAATCCTTAAGGTGACTTTAAAAATGCACACAGACGGACTCAGAGTCCAGGAGCCCTTAATTACCTGGCCCAGGGTGGAGGCCGCTGTGCTTCTGTCTCTGCAGCCTTGGGGCGGCCCTGTGCTGCTTTTCACTGCAAGCAACAGCGCAATACATAAAACTGCCCAACTTGTACAGGGCACAGAATGTGAGAGCACTAAGGGACCCTCTCTTCCTCATAAGCCATTTGCTCATTATATACAGACATAAATGAAAGTCAGTTGTCAAAATACTACCCAAAAGCACACACAGTCTGTACCTTTCATTTTTGCAAGTTTCAGTCTCACTATTCCACATTGTACAAGCACACACACAACTGCACACACACGGAGGCTCAAATATTAATCCAGGGCTGGGCAACCTGTGATCCTCCTGAAAGTTTTCACCTACAATTCCCATCATCCTTTACCATTAGTTATGCTGGCTAGGACTAATGCAAACTGGTTAAGTCATAATGTTAACTCATAATGTTGTTTAACTTCTGCATGCTTTTAACAAGGAGTCCAGCATGACACCCAAGACACTTTGTGGATGGGAAAGTTTTGGTATCTTAGCTGTTAGTCTGACCTGGGAGCAACTTCAGGTCTTAATTCAGAGGAAGTTTCTGACTTTGCTCCACATCCATGGATGCTTGTACCAAGGGATGACGATTTTGGTTCATAGGATACCTATTCTCTATTCCACTGATGTGAACAATTTGTGAGAATTCGGTGATAACAGGAGCCCTGCATAGGTAGGCTCAGGATGCAGGATCATGACTTATACTAGGCATGAATTCTGGCCAGGAAGCCACTGCAAACAAGCTCCTTTGCAGATGGCATTCTGAACCTATGGAAGGGTTCTGAACCTATGGAAGGCTGGTGTGAAGAAGCCCAGCCTGTGATTCATTTGTATACACTGATCGTGCAGCCGTTACCTGCCTCTGAAAAACAGATCTCTCCAGATTTAGGGACGTCCCAGGTAAGTGGACTGCAGCACGTGGCTGGAAGCTCCCCACGGCCCGAGGATTCGGCCATCCGCGAGCTGCCTGCTCTCCGGGGGCAGCGGGCTATCCCAGCTGGGGGCTGAAGGAGCTGCAGGCAGAGCTTCCAGCGCCGAGGGTGAAAAGCTCTTCCCCAGCCCAGCGAGCCCCACGCAACAGCCTCCCCCCACGCATCCGTGCCAATCCCCCATTGAAAACTGACCCTTCAAGGCGTCTCGCAAGGCTAGCTCGGAGGTTTGCAATTAGGTCCAGCCATTTTTCAGATCCTGAAGTTAATCACTCGGAGCACACGCAGCCGCTTTATACCCCTTTACAGCATCTTTTGTCGAAGCCTGGGAACAGCCCTTTCAGCCTTTGCACCGCGCTCCCCCCGTCCGTCAGAGCAGAAAGTTGTTGCCGCCGGCGAGTGGGGGCCACCCGAAAGGCGTTTCCCTTCTCGCAAGGAGGAGCGACGATGATGGCCGCGCAACCCCGCTTCGCTTCCGCCGGCTGCCTCTTCCCGGTCCAGCGACACGAGCCGCGCTTCCCGCGCTGCCGCCACGAGCAGCCGGGGCGGGCGCGCCGGCCCCTCCGCCGCTCCCGGCGGGCAGCCCCTTGGATCGCGCCCCCGCCCCTTCCTCCGTCGGGGTGAGGCCTCTCCATGCCCCTCCCCTCCGCCGTTTCCCCTCCAGTGACATCAGCGAGAGGTCTCTGCGCGGACGCCGAGTGGACGCCCCTCGCTCGCCTCGCTTCCCGACGGCTCCCGCTGGCGGCGGCGGTGGCGGCGCCGCCTCGTGGAACCCGCGCTCGGCGGACGAAGGGGCGGCCAGCGGCTGCTCCGGCGTCCCGGTGCTGGATTTGCCGTTCGGTTTTCGCTGGCGGGAGTCGAAGGCGGGGAGAGCGCTCCGAGGGGAGAGGTAAGGTAAGAAAGGCTCCTCTCCGCGGGACCTTGTGCCGCTTTCGCGGGCAGGAATGCCTGGAACTCTCAGCCCTGCGTCTGGGAAACTCTGTGGTTTGCGGGCAGCCAGACGTAACCGTGGAAGTCGGCTGGCGGGCGGTGGAAGTAACTTCGAGCGCCCCTGTGCTGTATTCCGAGGCATTGTTTTTTCCGGGCAGCAAGCGGGTGTTTAGCCGTCCTTGGGGCTGAGGCTGTGCTTGGATGAGCCTTACTTGCCCCGGCCAAACTTGTCATCCGGGGAAGGGAAGTTGGGGTTGCTAAGGAGCGCTGGGGGGCGGGGGGGCGCCTCCCCACGCTCTTGCCGTGCTGGCGTCTGGAAGTTTTAATCCTCTTGAGGGAAGGTGCGGATTGAAATTTACTTTAGATTAATATGGAGTGGAGACGAGGCGAGGCAGTGAGACTGGGTTGGCTGCACATGACCAAGGAAGAGCAGAGTTTCCTTTAGGATCTGCATCTTTGAGACCGAAGACTACGTAGATCTCTGATTTAGGGAATCATGCTAACTGCAAAGTGCAACCGTGGAAGGAGGGAAACCAAACTCCAGAGGCGACGCTGGTTTCCCTTCGTACTTTGCCAGAAAAGCTCTCCTCGGCTTTCTCCAGGCAACTCGCTGGCTTTGCGAGTTTTGGTGTTGGTTTCTGTTGGTCGTGCCTTGGCTTGCACTGCATCGGTTCCTGCTTTCGGATGGAAGCACAGCGGTTACTTTTTCCACGCGCTGCGGTGACCGAAAGGCGCGTGACTGTCGCGGTTCTTTTCCTGGGAAGAAAAGCGGTGCGGGAACCCTGCTTGCACAGGACACCTCTCCGGCGCGGGAGGTGTGCGGTTGCTTAGACTTTGCTCGATTTCAAGTGGAATAATGGCAACACTTCTAGGAGCTGTGCATTCGTCATCGCTAGGCTGAATTTAGGCTGCAGCGCGCCTCACAGTGTTGTTGACCTGCGAATTAAGAAGAACTTTCTTCTTTTGATGCTGATGTGAACTCCTTCCCTGTATAGAGGGATAAGGAGGGTCTGTGAGCCTTGGAAAGGAAGCTTGAACTTGTTTTCCCTACATTTATTTAAATCACCAGGGAGGACAGGGAATCCTAAACGCAAAATAGGATTCTCTACTCGTTTCTTTTAGCAGTATGCACACCAACAGATTGCAAATTGCCCCAAAATCTAATAATTCAAGGCAAGTGAAAAATATTGCCATATTTCTTGGTAGAACTTTTTGGGACGATCTTCTGTAAGCCCCTTGCCAAAAAAGGTTGTCAAGAATTCTAAAACACATTCCTGAAAGTGTGATAAGAGCTCAAAAAGAAAAATGAGTTCTTCAGTTGCCTGCATTCTGGAGGTCACACTAGGTTGAAGATGACTTGACAGCACAGAACAACAAATGCATAATGCATTAGAAAACTAGAAATCCAGTTCACATTAGGAAAACAGTGCTTCATGATATGAGTAGCAGCACAGTTTGACAAACTTCCCCTCTGTTTTCCTGTATGAAGCCACAGTCCCTGTGTGCTCCTGGGTGGGCTGCTTGGTGAGGGGCCAGAAGGTACTTCCATGCCGAAGGTTTCCAGCAAAAGGCACTGGACAGCCTTTCCATCTTTTCTCCTTTCCTAGATTTCAGTGTTTACCAGTATATGCGAGAAAAGACTGAAGAGGTAGTGGTGAATATTGAAGGGTTACAAATGGAAGAGAGATCACTGTAACATTTCCAGAATGGGATAGAACCATGGGAGAGTAAAATGCCTTGCTCGGGTTAGTGTATGCAGCATGCAGGGCAGGAGCCAAGCCTCAGCATCTTCCAAGACATTGCACTGGCAGTCTGGGAGACCTGTGATGCCTGCTCTTGTGCTGCTTCGTCTCCTGCTTGCTCCCACAAATACTGGATAAAAGAGCATTCCCTTGGCATTGTCTGGGAAGGCAGAGAACCTGATCAGATGAGCCTGTGCTATATCTATTTCCAGAAGGTGTCAGAGAGACATTTCAACTGAGTGGTAATTTTGAATTCTAGACGGTGTCAGGGAGAATGTGTAGCACATACAATTCCAGGACACCTTGAACATTGGAGAAGATTGGGTGGGATGGTTCAGTAGCACTAATGCACGTTCCCATCTTGGGAGATGCTGAGGCACAGTTCTTGACCCGTGTGCTCTCTTGTGCCAAGAGGAGCAATGACTACTAGCAATGGTATTACGGCCTGTGTCAGCCCCCTTCCTGTAAAGGATGGCATTTGGGCAGAGTAACTGAACACTTCATTGCACAAGGGTGTGTGTGGATCATGTGGCAGGAATACCCCCTTTACTAACTTAGGCTACTCCAACTATGTCAACTTGTGGATTTATGTGCAAAGGATCAAATGAACTCTATTAAGAGATTTTGAGAATTTCCCACTTAATGTGTCTGGTTGGATTAGAGCTGCACTGTTGTTGGTGGAACACTTGGAACTAGACCTGCAATCCTCTACACATTTAGAGGAGAGTAAGAGGTGGGTCTTACTTCTGAAGGTCCCTACATGTGCTCAGCAGTCTCCTAATTTCACTATTGGGGCAGCTTTTTTTCTTGCCTTTTAATAGAGGCATAGAACATGACTGCTTGGATAAGATGCTCTCCTCCAGGGGATCTCAGCAGAGGCTCCTGTGCAAATAGGGAACATGAGACCTTGGACCTTGCAGCAAACACTGGTCTCATTGGAATTTATACAACACCTCCAGAACTGCTATGCTTTTGCATCTCTGAGGTAATTGATAACTTTGGGGGAGGGTTAAAGTACAGAAACAGTTAAATGTAAGGATCTATCCTGTGTTCTAGTAATGTCAAATACTATTCAGTAATTATTTTCCCTTCACTGAGCTAATAATGTTTTTTACGAGATTAATTTATTTTTCTGGGCATTATACATGAGTGAATAATAGAGCAAAGTTTCAAACAAATGGTAGGAGAATGTCTTAGAAGCAAGGTAGTTCTTCCTTTGAATGTATTAATTATGCCATTCATACATGCTATTGGTGCGAATCACCATAACTTGTGAGGAAGAAAAAGAGACTGGTGAGCTATAATTTGGGCTTTATTTTCCCAATTAATCTGGGGTTGGGTCTGCACAGGATAACAATAAAGAGCACTGTCCTGGGAAGATGTTAACAGACCTGCTTGATTTATTGTTTTCATATTTCTTCTGACAGTGGAAAGTCTAGTGGGCATAAGTGGATAGCTGTGCTTCTGATTGAACGATGACTGGAAGGCAAATGCTGTTGTGTACTTTGAGGTGGTGAGTGTGGAAGTATGAGAGGAGGCAAGAGATTTCCAGGGAGCGAATTTCAAGGAGACTGTCTATAAAGATGGGCATGTGAAAGAACCATGCCCCCTTCTCTGAAGTACTGGATTGCTCCCATTTCGTTCTGACAGCTCTCAGAAACTGTTGTGGCCTACTTTTGTGCTCGTTAAAGGCAATCTTCCGGCTTGCTCGCCTCGCCTCGCGTCCGTGAGTTGGGATTGGTGCACAAGCGTGCCAGAACGCTTGGAAGCGGGGCGGCTCTCGCATCACACAGAGCCTCCACGGTGCGCCTCAGCCGCCAGAGCCCCAGCCCTGCCTGCTGCCCCATGCTTCCCTCGTGCCGAGCAGGGGAGCTCTCAAGGAGGCATGGAGCCCCCGATGAACCGGCAGGTGGGCATGTGGAGGCCTCTCTTTGTAATCTGCGGCATTTTCCCAGCGCTCAGTAGGTTTGGACCTGTGGAAATTCAATTTCTTCCTGTCCAGCGCCTTATAAACACAATTACTATTGTGACTGGTGTATGGGGTGTGGTTGTGCAAGTATCACAGCCATCTGTTGGCTATTGTGCCAATATGAGCCATGACTACTAGCAATGCTATAATTTAAAATTCCTCATATCACACATAATTCCCTTCCTGCTACATGCTTAGATTGTGTAAGTGTTTGAAATGCCTTCTCCAAGAATTTATCTCTGCAAAATGGAATACAGTACAGTACGAACCTCTCCATCACGCTAATGCACATTGCTAAAGATGGTTAGCAGAGGACAGCATCTTCTGCAGCAAAACCTTTATTTCCTTCTCCATATATTACATATAGCATTATTGGTATTAAAAACTGGCTTGCAGAAATATTGCGTAAACAGTAGCCTGTGTATGGGTCTTGCCTGTTCCTATGGAAAAGCCCTTGCTTTACAGACCCCTGCTGCATCTAAAAGGAGCTTAGCAGCACATTGTGTGTGTCTTGTTACAAATTAAACATCCCTAGATTGCCACAGGCTACTCCGAGTTTTACTCCAAAGTATTCATGCAGGTTTGAGTGAGTGGACTTCAGATTTGGCATGGACAAAACAGCTGCAGAGTAGCCTTGTCTGCATAAATTGAATCCTTCTGACATAATGCAGGTCATGCTTAGGTTCCAGCCTGAGACTCATGAGCTTCTGCAGTTGATGTAACTACCAGTTTATATTTCATGCTCTAACAACCTGAGGATTGATGATGAAAACACTGTTGAAACACGTGATGAAAACACTTGTGC